TATGCAGTTCAGGCTGACCTTGAGCTCACTTTGTAGCCCAGGCTAGCCTCGAACTCGAAACAATCCTCCTGCCTCAGCCTCCCGAGTGCTGGGATTACAGGTGTGAGCCACCACACCCGGCCTTCACTAATTATAAAACAAAAATTTCTCCAACCTGTTGCCAAGGAGGAAACAGTTGCATGGTATTTCTATCAGTTTAGAAATAAGAAGATGTCATGTTCTTTGGGGTGAAAATTTCATTTTTATGCTTTGTCCATGGGGTCCAGAGCTGTGAATATCGTTCATAGAATATTAAGGCAATATGAAGCAAAAAAGAACTTCCATTCATATGATAGAAAGTAAAATTCTGAGTTAGTTCAGAGCTGTATATGAATTAGAAGAGTAACTGTCTTTCAAGTGATATGAAAGGGTATCTCTTATTTCTGCTGGTATTGAACTGGTTTAGGAAAACAGAATGAAACTGGGAAGCTATGTAGATGTGAGGATATGCCTTTTGTTATTAGAAATAGCATGCGGAGATTAAAACTTTGAGCTCACAATCTTGGATTTGATGAGACTATAAAAGGTGACCTAATAATTCTCGTGCTGTGAGGAAAGATTACCTCCAAGGTGCATCTAGCTCTACAGTTGTGTATTTTATTTATGAGATTGTGGAGGAGAGACTCTAGGAGAGATACAGGCAGACCTAGGGCCTCCAGAAAGTTCAAATAGTAGTGGAAAGATTGAGTTTAAACAAAAATTATGTGTTCAGTAGTATCAGCTCTAAAGTCTATTTATCATGCTAATTAGATATCTACCAGCTAATCAAGGAAATCTTTTCCTTTTCCTTTTCCTAGAGATTTATCCTGCAATAAAATACAGTCAATTGAAAGAGGAACATTTGATTCACTACCTTTTTTGCAGTTCATGTAAGTTCCAAATAGAAATTCATTATATTTCGAATTGTATACACACCCTAGCTACTTACATTGGAACATGGCTAAAATTTTACTAGTACAATGTTACTAAATTATGTACAGACTTAAATTCCTGGCTAAGATTCCGTGAGGATCATTGCCAGGTCAGAGTGAGGGACAGCAGCATGGCTCTCAGGAGGTGTGGTTTCCACCCACGTGACATTGGGGAACTGAATGTGCTGTGGGCATCAGCTGGGGAGAGGCTGCTAAACAGCTGCAGTGTTGGGACAGACCTCCACAAAGATTGTCCGGCCCCAGAGGTCGACAGCTGAAGCTGTGAAGCCCTGGTCTAGAAAAAGAAAGAGTGCTAACACAGGTTACTTAGTGAGCATTCACTGTGTCAGACCTAAGGCATCGTGTGTTTAAATATGAGTGTATAAATCATAAGTCAGCACGGTCCACAGTGAGATTTCTTTAGTGCGTTCAGGAAGTAGTGAGGTTATGTTTCATTACGTACGAGTTAGAATCACTGACAAAGGATAAAACTTCAGAAAAAATTCCTCCTCTTCTACTTCCTTCTCTCCCTACCCCCTTATTGGGCTTACGTCTTTTCTCTTTTTTTTTTTTTTTTTTTTTTTTGGTACTAGGAATCAAACTCAGGACCTCACATTTGCCAGGCAAGTGCTGAACCACTGAGCTATATCCCTGGCCTGCTTATGTCTTTTTTTATTTTTTATTTTTTAGAAATCTTCGCTGCAATTTACTCACGGAACTGAGCTTTGGAACATTTCAGGCATGGCACGGGATGCAGTTTTTACACCATGTGTAAGTGAAATGAAAGATAAATACATGTGAAATCAAAAAGTATATTTGTATGTTAAAAACCCTGTGCAGTTCTTGGTTAACCCCCACAGTCCAGACTCGAGGCTGTGTTTACAAAGTCTGCTCCTCATCTCCCCAGTGATGACAGTGCACGCTCCTGAGTGTGTGGAGACTGTAGGGTTTGCAGGCAGTGGCCCCCCGACTCAGACACGCTCAGGCTGAAGGCTGCAGCGTCTGCACTGAGTCAGAAACAGAAGCACTGAAGGAGAGGAAGAGGGGAAGCCCAGCTTTCTCCCTCTTGCAGAATCTTGAGCCCGTGCGGCCATAGTGTAGAGGCCACTGAGCTGCCATCCCAGAGACACTTGGGCTCCCGAAAGGCCCTCATCACAGTTTCCTGTGGAGCTGGAGCTATTCAGTTTGTCCACTCAGGGGCCAGGCATCACTGTGCGGTCTGTCCTGGAATCCTGGCAGCGTCTTCTCAGATCCAGCGGCACATGCACTAAAGATGTAAGCAGTACCTCGAGTTTGTCCTTAGGGCTGACCTAGGTGGGCTGTTTCATTTATAATGGTTCAAAAGTTTCAGAGCACCATACCCAGGATCTATCCTGCAGTTCTTCTCCCAACTGCATCTCATTCCTCCTCTCTGGACAACCAATTGTCTTCTCTGCTTCTGGAAGCTTAGAACTTCCTCCTCAGCCCATAGCATTTCTGTAATACCTACATTTGTAGGGTGTTTCTGATGTCCCAGGCACTACATTATGTATATGTACAAATTAGTTAATGGGCTGGAAGCTGTCATGCTTGGCACGTGGCAAATGCTCAAAACATGTTACTTTCTTTTCATTTCCCCAGCTACTCTTGTAGCATTGGTATCATTGCCTCCATTCTGCAGAGGAGACAGTTGAAGCCCAGAGACCATGGACTATTCACAGTGGGACTAGGTGCCAGAACCACTTAGGGGCTTTGCAAGTCATTTTCTATGCAGCTTTGTTCCACTGTAAATAGGGGATGATGGGTAGTAGTTTGGCTTTTTGCGCTTTATATTTTGAAATTGATTTCTGATTTGGACCTTTGAAGCAGAGAGCTCGATTTTCTTCTAAGGATTTGACACCTCTAGAGTCCTGGCCACATTCTTCTGGGCAACCACAGTCTTTTTTTTTTTTTTTTTTTTTTTAGAATAACAAAAAATATTTTACCAAAACATAAGATTTACAGAAGTTTCCAGACAAGCCATACAAAATGGTCACAAGCTTTTTTTGAAAGGGGAAATCTACACTTGACTACAAAATCACAGTATTATTAGTGAGGGCTGTGGTGTGTGTCAGTGTTCCCATTCTGGTTCGAACAATCAGGTTGTCTTTCTACAGTGTCTAAATAAAGTGAGACTTGGCTAGAGAGTGGATCTTAAAATACTGGCTAGCTGCTTTTTAACCAATGCAATTAGATTACCATAAAAGGTGGAGCAGAGCCCATAAAGTTTTGAAACTACCTTTCCCCTCAAAAAATAAAATAAAATAAAGAACACCCTTACCCCTGCAGCTAACCTGACAACTACCTTCATTCACAGTGCTTTACACTTAAGCCGTGATAGGGGAAATGAATAAAGCAGAGAGCCATTGCTTTCAAACATTTCACAATCCGGATGAAACTTCTAGCTTCTGCTCACGCTTTACAACAGTGCATCAGGACAAGACGTAGCTTTGCTAATGTGCATTTAATCACCAAAGGACTGAAAATGTCTGGGTTTTTATTCTGTAATATTCTAGGACTGTGTCCATTAAATGCAAACAAAAAAGGAAGAAGTCTTGGCAGAACAGAGAAGTGACACAAACTTGATGATTGGATCAACTTAAATATTAGTCATGGCACATTGCCTCGCCCATGCTTTAGCTGTTTTTTTGGCTTAAGTTTCTTGGTCTTCCACTGCGTGGCCACATCATTTGCTCATGGGTCATTATTGGGTTAATAATTCTTAGTTATTGTGGGCTGATCAGGCCCACAATCTCCCAAATGAGTGGACAGCGAAGACTTAAATAAATGAGACAAATTAAATGATCTTAGGGCTCCAGGAGAGTCTATCTCTCTTACAATATTTAAGATTCTCTGGGTTAAGGCCAAGACTTCCCCGGGCTGCCCATATTTATTAGGTTTTCAAATAAAGGAAGGAGATACTGAAGAAAATGCAGGAATCTGAGCAGGACTTGGGAAACCCTTTACAGAATTCTCTAAGTAATACTTATGTTAATCTCCAAGCAATAGAACTAAGTTAACTCCAGGAAGGCCTTCACTGCAAGAGTGAGATGCCTGTAGCTGCAGTCTCCTCTGAGTTAACTGGGGTGGGAGCCAAAAGTCCTCAGTTGGTGGCCTTGTCTTGTCCTGTGAGGCCTCATGGCTTCACTCACCATTACAGGCCTCAGTAGTGACTCACAAGTAGACATGGAAAGCTGACTGGTTGATATAAGTCCTGCTCAGAGCTGCTTCACAGTGGTCTCTGTGACCCATTTCACAGTGGGTAGGAGCATTTAACAAAGCCTGGATCAACAGCAGAACTGTATGGATCTGCAGTGCTGGCAACCATTTATCTTTTTTTTTTTTTTTTGAGACAGGATTTCCCTATGCATTTCAGGGTGGCCTTGAACTCACTTTGTAGCTCAGGCTGGCTCAAACTTGCAGCAGTCCTCCTGCCTCAGCCTCCTGAGTGCTGGGATTGTAGGTGTCTACCACCACACCCAACTGCAACCATTTATCTTTCAAAATATCTAAACATGTTCTTCTCAGCTTGTCTACATTAGGATGATAAATTTTGGTCATGAAATGTACTTGAGGTGCTGCTGTTGGGTATTCTTCAGGCAAAAATAGTTCAAGTTTAAAAGTCCCTCCTTCAAAGAGGTTTCCCGGAGGCCAGCAATGACCATGTGCAAATAATGGGTTTGCTCTCATATGGTTCTGCTTTAATCCCAGGAACTGGCTCTGCCAGCAAGTGCTGGCTTTCCTTGATGAGTCTGTGGGTGGCCAGTCCATCTTGTCAGATCCTGAGTTTGCTCTGTAGTCAAATCTCTGCTCCCCTCCTGGGCAACCACACCCTTCTGAAGACACACTGTCAGTAGTGTCGCTCTTTCTTTCTCTCTTTCTTTTTTTTTTTTTTCTCTTTTTGTGGTACTGTTAGTTGAACTCCAGGGCCTTTACCCCAAGTGCCTCACCAGTCCTTATTTTTTATTTTGAGACAGGGTCTCATTAAGTCTCTTAAATTACCCAGGCTGTGTTCAACTTACAATCCTCCTGCCACAGCCTCCCAGAGTGCTGGGGTTACAGGTGTGTACCCCACACCCAACCTTAGCAGCCATTCTCAATGGCTGGGGACAGGGAGCAGAGAAGGAGCAGAGGGAGAGGAGGCTACTAGAGAGTGATCTCACCAGGATTAATGGCTGTATATGTCTAGATGTCCCCCCCAAAGCCTCATGCAGTCATGGGGTCGGCTGCTAGAGTTTATGATTATGGGTGTGAGTGCTACGCCCACCCTAGGGCAGGTAGTTTGCACACATATAAGGGGGGGAAAGAGGCTACTTGCTGTTCCTCCCTTTTTGCACTTTCTGCTTTTGCTCTCTTCGGCCACCATGAACTGTTGCCCTCTGCCATGTGCCACTCTGCCTTGGAGCCAGCTGATTATAGTCTGAAACTTCCACACACTGTGAGCTAAATAAACCTCTCTTTCCTTAATTCTGGGCATTAGGTTTTATCTCAGTAATGAGAGAAAAGTAACTAAGACAGAATTTGGTACCAGAGAAGAGGGGTCCTTGCTGTGACTATACCTGACCATGTGGTTCAACAGTCTTTGGAAATGGCTTGTGAGAAGTGTTTGGAAATGTAGCCTGAAAAAGTAGAGCTGGAACACCTTCTGCTGTTCTGTATGGGAGATTCTGGTGAGAGCTCAGACCAGAAGGCTGATAGAAATCCTGCCAATAAAGACCAGATTCAGAAGGTTTCTGCTGGGAAGAAGGACTGCATTGGTTGTTGGAATCCAGATGCTGTATGTTATGGTTTGGCAGAAAGTTTGTCTGCACTTTTCTTGTGTCCAGAGACTTTGCCTAAGACAGATTAAGGGCAGTGAACTAATTAATCTGGCAGAAGAAATTTCAAGGCAGTCGAATGTTGAAGCAGTGGCATGGCTATTGTTGGGGCTTCTAGGCAGATTTATGTAGAGAATCAAGAGCAAAAAGCCCAGCAGAATGATTTAAAACATTTTTAGTTTGGCCTGGAAAAAAGCTCCAGTAAAGCTGTGGACTGCAAAGATAGAGCTGAGGAGATTTCAATTGCAGAGAAGGAACAGAAGAATATAAAAGATGGCCTGAGGGGATCACAAGAAGGAGCAAGTCTCCACCCTTTGCAGACTCAAACCTGCAAAAGTGAAAGACTTTGCCTTGAGAAAGAAGCTGCAGAGCACCATGTTCCAGAATGGTGGCAGTAAAACGGCTCCAGAATGGAGGTGGAGGCTACACCAGGTTCCAGAATGGTGGCAGCATAGAGAATCTGTTCAGAATCAGGTTCAGAGTGTCCAGTGATCCAGGCACTTGACCCCAACAGCTAAGAGAGAGGAAAGCCTGGCTACTGCTCCAGCTGGCAGCAGACCTTGGCATTGTCCACATGGCACTGGTTTTAGATGCATGCAGAATACAACAGTTCTGAGGTTTAAAAGGCTTCCACCTGGATTTCAGAAGGCCTGGGAGGCCAGGCAGTGTGCCACTGAGAGGGCAGTGTGTGAAGCTGTGAATGTAAAGTGAAAGGTGTAGTGGAGACCCCAGAAGTTTGGAAAAGCCAGGAACGTGGACCATCTAAGGAAAGCTGCAAGGAGGGAGCAAAGCAGGCCTAAGAGAAAAGCTGTGGAAGCTACAACCACCAAAAGTGCCATAGGGGCAGAGTCACACAAGCCCTTTGGAGCTCACAATTTATCACAGATTGCTTCAGATGTTCCACGTGGAACTACAGGACATAATGTTAGCCCTGCT